TTATGTCCACATTTCTGTCCCCCCCCCCGATACCTACCCAGTTGCTATACGTATTTAATATGGTCACATATTTAATGCCTCATCTATTTTTGCCTCAAGGGTCACCAGTGGAGCATTGGCAACTTCCAGCACAACATCTAGCTCCTGCTAGGTACTTAGATTTTCACTGAAACATGCATATTGTGACTGATCCAGTAAAACGTATCTTACCATTTTTAGCAAGAACACATATTACAGATTACTTAACAGAAATTTATTATTTATTAGCGATAAAGAGATCCAAATACTCTTGCTTATATATCCATAGGCAAGGATTTTTTTAAATATCTAGAAGTAAAATCATCATACCTGTGATCCACAAAATACTTTGCCTGATTGATCTTTTCCTAAGCCATGTTTATGAATAACCATTATGCTTATTTAATTTATATTTATTTGTTTTGGTCTGGTCAGACTTCAGTTTTGTGAAAGACATGATCTACACCAAATCCTGCCCAGTAAACTCATATATTTTTTCTAACAATTGAAGGTCCGGAACTAAAATTATCACAGGAGGTAGAAGCATTTTGTGCAGTATTCTTTCAAGTTTGTCCAACAACACATAACACCTGGTACTGATTACAATGATTGCCTTAGGAGAATTCCAGAAGGCCGGCCAGATTACGATTTAAGAGAAGTTGGTCTCTGTTTGTGGTTTACTGTGGAAGAGCCCATTAACACACTATTAATAAGATTGTGTTACTATTTCCTTCCACAATTCTTAACTGTTGCAAGCTAGCAATTTTATGGCCAATGCATTCATTCTCTTTGGCTAACATCAACCAGAAAAGATCTTCAAATGTTCGGTACTGAAATCAAATACCCTTAAACTGGGTGTCATACTACTCAGTGCCTGTTATTTTCCACAGGGGCTTTGTAATTATAAATACTGTTTAAACAAACTGACATACTCCACTTAGCATCTACACCTTAAATTCTTCTGAAAACAAATATTCAGGTACTAATAAAGGGGGTGGGAGTCACAAAGACTTTTTAAAAATTCTTAAAGCAATTTCTTCCCAGAATGAGAGAGGGGGAAAAAAACACAATTCCGCTGCAGATGTGTGCTCGACGGAGCCTTCCTATAGAATGAGAGAGGGGGGAAAAAGACACAATTCCACTGCAGATGTGTGCTCGATGGAGCCTTCCTAATACGCCGTTATCTGCAATGGATTAGCCACTCCTGGCAGAAGGCAAGATGACAAGCCTCTGTGCCAGGTCGCAGAGTGGCTAATCCACTGCAGACAACGGTGTGATAGGAAGGTTCCGTCCAATGAGCATCCGTGGCGGAATGGTGAGTGGACCCTCGTTATCTCCACCTTAGGGGGGATATTCGTACATAAATGCGAATATAGGCCATTATCAGCAATGGATTAGCCACTCCTGGCAGAAGGCAAGATGACAAGCCTCTGTGCCAGGTCGCAGAGTGGCTAATCCACTGCAGACAACGGTGTGATAGGAAGGTTCCGTCCAATGAGCATCCGTGGCGGAATGGTGAGTGGACCCTCGTTATCTCCACCTTAGGGGGGATATTCGTACATAAATGCGAATATCCCCATTTCTACTCCAGAACCTTACTTAGCATTTTACCTAACTAGCTAGCTAATGCTATTTTTAAACATAATTTCAAATACATTCCTGGAGTTAGCCTATACAGTTTTAAGATTAATATAATTTACATGTACTGTATAATTCCACACTAAAATTAGTAACATAAAACAATATTACAGCTCAAAAATTAAAATGTAAATGTTAAAAGCTCAGTCTTCACCTTGTGTCCAAATGATATCTATTTATGCTTCAGATGAGCTCTTAGGAGCTTCAGCTCTTCACGCAGAAGGCTACTCAAGTTCTCTTACTCTCTTCCACCCCACAAATAAAACAAGATCCTTCCAGCCAAACCAGAAACTCTTTTGCAAGTCACAATGCACCAACACATGTTCACAGACCTTAGGTATCTTCAGCACCTCAGTTCAAAGCCTGGATAGCATTATCAAGCCAAGCCTAAGCTACTGAATGGATGGCAACTGTGAAGAAAGGAGAAGCAGCACAATGCCAACCCCAGAGCATCTATCTATGGACAAAAAAAGGAGGGGGTGAGGAGCCGAAGATAATGGTACTAGAACAGAGGACAAATCTCCAGGGACAAACAGGGCAAAAAGCTTCCCAACAGGACAGCAAAAAAGTTTTTAAAGCAAGATGAAACAGCAACTGGAGCTTTAGGGCATAAGAAGATGGGACCATGAGATTTCACACATTCATACAGAAGGCAAAAATCAGCACAGTGGATCTGATGACTTCCATGTTGAAAAATGAGGAAATGTTACTTACCTGCAGCGCTAAAACTATAGTGATGGGATTACAAAGAAGAGCCAAATAGGGAGTTGCACCAAGCCTCTTAGGAATCAATGCTAACTTCCCAATTTAGTATTTATTTCTCTTAATCCAACAACTAAATTTAAAGCTGCACTTTTGAAGTCTTATAAAGTCAGACAGTTAACTTTAAAGGATACTTTAAAAAAACACCCTAACTACAAGAGATTCTGTTCCTTTTTCTGCAAAATTTAATGCTTCACTGGTGTTTGATCTCACAGAGCAATAGCCTTTTATTCAGAATGCATGAATCACAATGTTATCTTTTGGATCTTAAAACTGAATGTTTTAAATGTAGAGTATTTAAGCAATATACCACAACCCGAGGAACCAACAGCTATGGCCAAACAAACCTGTGGATTACCTACAAATATGTAAGGAAGAAAATGCTAGTCAACCAGAAAAACAAAGTGGTCAGTCATAGTTTTATATAGCAGGAAACTGGAACTTTCTTCCTTAAAATTAATTAGTTTTAATTTAATCCTCAAGAGGCAATTCACTGACAACGCACAATGAATAATTAATCCATGTGCCAGATAAAAGGAATCCTTCTATGATCTTCTAACACAAGGTATTAAGTACTGAAATGAAAGGGGAAAAGATGGAACTACTTAAGGCTCAAAATGTAATAAAGGTTCTGCAGAAAATTCTGGCAAAGAATTTCATTCTAATTCCTAAACAGAACAGACTGGCTAAATATTATGTAGTTTTACAAAGAGCACAATACATTCTTACAGAATAAAAAGAACTACTGTTGCTGGGCAATTCAAAACCCTATTACACTCTTAAGTTTAAAAATAGTTCAGTAAAAAAACTACAGGCTTTATTTACTTGTGCTCTGCATGACATTTTATGTTGTGATTTAACTATGCCCTGCCTCCTTCTTTGCCTGTCTCCTCTCCTACCATTTCCCTCGAACCATAATAAATAAAGCCTGCATTTACATCCATTATATAACTTTCAGAAAAAGAAGAAAAGACAGAAATACAGGATTTTTTGAAACATGAACAAGCCCAATCAAGTAAGCATTTGCTTTCCTATTCTTTGGGCTTTCAAACAAACACAAACAAACATAAACAATTTGAAGTTTTGAATAATTCTTGTTAAATACATGACACAGCTTGAATGCCCAGTTGTAACTGGCCACATAAACGCACTTTGGATGGGATGCAAAAACCACCACTCTGAGATGTGCTAATGTGCAGCAGAATCATAAGCCAGCCCTGGCTGTCTTGCCAGAGGACAGGATGGATTAGCATCAGTACAGGATGGCAGCAGGACTGGGGAATGATGGCACACAAGTATCAACTTGTGCAGGGACTTCCACTGTTGTAAAAGTACTTTCTGAAAGTTACTGTAAAACTGCACACAGAAATCCAAGGGAGAAAAATAACCCAAAGAAATGAGGCAATGTTTACAACACAACCCAATTATTAAATAGGAAAAGAGAGGGGGAAAAAAAAGAAAAAACACTTGTTAACAAGGAAAAATAGTCAACCTACTTGGAATGCAAAATACCGAAGATGCCCTTTACTGCTGCTCTTACAGATGTTGGGGATGTTCTTCAAGGGCCTCATGCCCATTTCCCTCTCTCGGAGGACATAAATTAATGTACCACACTGCCTATCCTCACCTGCTAATGACCTGCTACCTCAGGTGGGGTTTCATGTCAGTATTAAAGCAATATTTAATAGAGATGGAATACTTGTATTCGTCTCCTGACAGATACTAATACTGTACAAATATCACCACCACAGGTGGCCGGGTCGTTTGGACTCTCCCCCCAGAACTGGCTGGTCCATCTACTTCTTGCAACATGGTGCATGAGGCCATCGTTGTTCACATTGCATCAAGTGCAGAAGTAGCCCAGCCGGTGCTTCCCTGCCTCACTGTGCTGCTGACCACTCAAGCACTGAGCAGGGAGACTCATCAACCCATCTCCTCATTGAAGCGGTCAGTATTGCAGGGAGGCGAGGGAGACCCGGTTGGGCTACTTCCGCAACTAGCACAGTGCAAACAACAACGGCCGTGTGAACCACAAGCAGCAAGTGGACCAGTTAATTCTGGAGGGGTGGTCCAAAGGGCCCAGACACCTGTGATGGCAATTTTCACATTCCTCTCACCCAGGAGTTGAATACGAATACCCCAGGTCTAATATTTAACTATCTGCCCAATTAGCTTCTTTATGTGAAACAGAAAGGGTGCTGTTTTGTCCAAAATATCTTGAGTTGGCATCATTTCCTGGCCAAATGAAGGTGGACCTGCAGGTCCTGATGAAGTAATGAGACTCCAGCAGCTGCCTGTTGATAGTGCATACTAGTGTCAGATTTGTCTTTAGGTTGATCTTCTTTGCACTATCAACATTATCCTCATCAGACTGTGTTTCCGTAACCTGGACTTTATGGATGCTTCTGGAATAATAGTTTATCTCACATTTGTACCAATACATAAAATTTAATACATTTAACATTTACTAATGCATTAAAACAAACAATAATATATTTAAAATGTTGTTAAAATGAATTTAAACAACCATTCCAAAATCAGAAGCTAAGCTCTTCATATCAGACTGCTTGAGATATCCTTACCTGCACCTTTTTTAAAGCTACTGGGACACCATCCAGCAAGCATGTAGCTCTGTATACTTCACTAAACTGTCCACGGCCAATCTTTTTTTCTATTCGAAAGTTGGCTAGAGTATTGTAGCCCATGTCAGGTCGTAAGGCTTTCTGTAGTCAAAAAAATAAGAAAACAATTTGACAATATAAAATATACATCAAGTATTGGCATATGCTCAACTGCCTTTTCTTCCTCCCAAGACCCATTTGTTCATACCACGAGCTTTAATAAAATGAATCTAAGAGAAAATAGACTTACATGTGCTGCCGATCTAAGGCAATGCTTAAGCCTTTCTTGCCAACTGTACCTAGTCACCGTGTTTGAAAAAACAGGATGGGTGTATTTGTTTTGAGCTTTCTCATGCTCAATTTAAAACAGAATTATTTTCCTACTGCTATGACTTTCTAGATGTCCTGTTTAAAGTCCATTAAAGTGCTAATTAGTACCAAGAACTCCAGAGTCCAGTCATTAATACTGAAGGTGGCTGGGTAACGTTCATGCCTCCAGATGGTGGTGGAGTGCAACTCCCTATAGTGGCTGTGCTGACCAGGGATGATGGAAGCTGCAATCCAGCAACCTCTGGATGGCTGTACTTTGCTCACACTACTCTGGGACATCATCACACACTTCTATGCCAACACTCCACCAGACTGTAAAACATCTCAGAAACCCTCCATAAGCTGGATCAGGACTTTCAAGATAAGGTGGATTGGCTATTCAGATCGTATTGCCTGGTACATGGATGCTTGCCTGCTTTCAAGCAAACTGTGAAGGTAGTTTTATATAAAATGACTTTTTTCAAATAACAGCTGTTATCTGCTGCTACTTGATTCTATCATTTTAGTTGCTTTTATGTTATATTTGGCTTCAAATGTCTTGCTGACTCCTTGTATGTGTCATCTCATGAGCTTTCTTGTAAAAGGATGGGATAAAAGTGAATAAATTTATAATTATACTTTGGACACAAAATGTGAATTAGAAACCCTTCAAAATTAAAGACGTAAATAAACAAGCACAATTTGAATCTGTTGTTTTTATTCTTTTGTTGTTTTCTTTTGTCATTTTAAATCAGAGTGAATTTTGAAACATCAACTGTTTTAAAAAGTGGATTTTTAAAGGCAGTTTTCAAAGTTTAAATAGTTCATTTATTAAATGCTTTTACAAATTCTGTGTGATATAGTTTTAATGGAAAATGTTACAAAGGTTTTACTATTAAATACATTTTATTTATTTAAAATATTTTCCCTTCCCTTCTCCTTAAAAGGATCCAAAATGGCTTACAATTAAAATACAACATTTAAAAGCTAAAAACAGTGAGTCTACAAATATTTAAAAAGAATTAAACAAGTATTATGTTTGAAATGGTCACTAAAATCAGTAAAATTATAATTCTACATTATGTTTAATATTCTTTTTAAAAGACTTGTAAATAGAGTCTAACACTTCTTAGGTGGGAGCCTCAATTTCATACGTTTCTATATAGATTCTTTATGTTAACCTTTCTATATGCTAATACTACTCAGCCTAGTATATATGATCAGAAAAATTGCAATTCTCAAACTGGGTGTATGTTTTCAGAGATACATACTTGTGAAGAGCAATATAGGGAGAGGAGAAAGAGCAGATATCATCAAACAGATTTTCCAGCTCTGAAGTTATAATGTTGGAAATTCTTGAAAGCCTTATTAAAATCTCCAGGATTGCTTTCAACAGTTTATTTTACAGATGCTTATTCCCTTTTAGATTAGCAACCTAGGCTAAAGCCTCTCTGTGAAGACAAAAGCAAACACTTCCCACTCTCTCTCCAAATATGCCTATTTCCATACACTAGAAGAGTCAATAAAGAGATAATTATTGTAGGCAAAATCATTAGGACAAAGAGATGCAAAACATATGTGTGGCGGAATGCCCACGTCACTCCTGTCCATCATATGGAGCTCAAGGGCCTATGATAGGACAGGAGGGGTGGAGTAAGAGTGACATTTGGGGAGTTAGAGAGACAGAGAAGAGATAGGGAATGGAAGTGAGAGAGTTAGGACAGTGAATTGAGAGAGTTAAGACAGAAATTGGACAGTTGAAGTGTTACAGAGAATTAGGAAATAGTTAAAAGGAATAGAGAATAGATGATTAAAGAATATTGTTAAAGAGGTCACTGTGAATAAAAACACATACAAGTAAGGTAAAGGTTCCCCTTGACATTTCTAGTCAGTCGTGTCCGACTCTAGCGGGGCGATGCTCATCCCTGTTTCCAAGCCATAGAGCCAGCGTTTGTCCATAATCAGTTTCCGTGGTCACATGGCCAGCGCGGCTATACACGAAACGCTGTTTACCTTCCCACTGAGATGGTACCTATTTATCTACTTGCATCTGCATGCTTTCAAACTGCTAGGCTGGCGAGGAGCTGGGACAAAGCGACGGGAGCTCACTCCGTCGTGTGGATTCGATCTTACGACTGCTGACCCTGCAGCACACTAAGGCTTCTGCGGTTTAGCCCGCAGTGCCACCATGTCCCACTACAAGTAAACGTGTAATCAAATCCAATTTAATGAATGAACCTGAACAACTGTGATTTACATCTGTGATTTACATACCAACTAAATGATCAATAAAACCTGTCGTATTGGCAGCACTTGTCTGAGATACATTTGGTATATTGTGGACTAGATCCACTGGTGGCAGTGTAGAAAGAGGAAATGCATCCAGAGGGTGGACCTGCGTTTGGGGAGAACAAACAAGGGACACTAGGGGGACGTGACAATCTGTATTAAAATTACTGCAAACAAGAGTGTATTTTTGGTGGGGGAGGAAGCATGTGACTAATCAGTGATTTTAATCATGACTTAAATCAGCTGGAATCTTTTCAATGTTTGCATAAGTTGTTGCATATAACAGTGGCTAACTGGCAAGGAGCCAGATAATGTTTTGGTTTTACAACTGGGTGTGTGATCAGGCACCTCGGCAGCTACCATATTTTTCTGTGTATATGACCCCTCAATGTATACAACAACCCCCTAATTTGGTCCCTTGCTGGAGGTGGAGGAGCAGTGAATGGGCAGCCATGAGAGACAGCCGAGTGCAGCTGCTCCTTTGCGACCACCTCCTTCTGTGTACAAAATGACCCTCAATGTTTCCTCTAATGATTTTAGGAAAAAGTGTCATTTTATACACGGAAAAATACGGTAGTTATGGCAAGATAGACAAACCTTAAGTGAACACTGATAGGATTCTGATCTCTTTGATCCAAATCAAATCCACCCTGTTCTAAATTGTTTTTTTTCCCAACAACTCTGTTGTTTTATACCTTTAAGTCAGAACCAACTTAGAGCAACCCTAACAAGGTTTTCAAGGTAAGTGTTTTTACCAGTTCCACTCCCAGTGAGTTTCCATGACTAAGTACAGTAGTAACTGGAACCCAGGCCTCTTGAGTCCTAGTCCGTCACTCTATACTCTACACCAGTGGTTCTCAAACTTGGGTCCCCAGATCTTCTTGCACTACAACTCCCAGAAATCCTGGCCAGCACAACAAGTGCTGAAGACATCTGGGAAATGCAATCCAATAACATCTGAGAAACCCAGTTTGAGAACCACTGCACTACACCACACTTGGTATCTTAACATTTGCAGAAATTGTTTATCTTGAACAGCCAGTTGTGAATATCCATGAAAGCAGGAAGGTACAGTCCCACTCAGTCCTGTGTGGTCCCCAATGCTGGAAGGATACCTATCTCTGATGTAAGTAAACGTGTTAACAGAGCAAGCCGGGACCCATGTCCCACTGGCAGGAACCCAGACGGCTCCACATAAATCTGATCCCATCCTTATCAAATGGACTTCCGCCGGAGATATGCCAGGCCACCTCCCTTCAAATCTTTTAGAAATCAGGTGCTGTTCAAAGTGCCCTTCAGTAGCATTCTTTCTGTGAATAACTCTTAACTCTTAAGAACTCTTAGCATCTATCAGTTCTTAAATTTTTTAAGATATCTTTCTTAGTTTTTTTTCTTTCTGTACATTTTACAATCATCATTATTGTTTGATGTTCTCTACATGAAGTTTTAAATCAATTTAACTGGATTGCTGTTATAATGCTGTCATATTTTATTTGTAAACTGTTCACTAAGTTGGACAATACAGTGGTGCCTCGCTTAACGATTGCCTCGTTTAGCGATGTTTTTGCTTAACGATGGTTTTTTAAAAGAATTCTATGCATCATTTAACCATGTTTCCTATGGGCGATTTGCGCTTAGCGATTTCGGGACCATGCTTCGCATAGCGAATGCATTTTAGGTCCCCTGTTTCGCTTAACGTTTTTTCAATTTTAAAAGTGTCTTAAAATGTTCAAAAATGTTTTAAATGGTTGGAATCATTAGTGCACCTTCTAAAACGTGTGCGAACTTAATTTGGCTTTGATCTGACTGTTCGTTAATTTTTGGTGAATTTTTTTCTCCCCCATAGGAAACAATGGAGCTGTCAAAAGTTGGGCTCCATTGTTTCCTATGGGGGAGAAAAAAATCCACAAGAAATTAACGAAGACTCAGAACAAAGCCAAACTAAGTTTGCGCACGATGTACAAGGTGCTCTAACGAACCCACGCATTTAAAACAGTTGCTGACTTTTCGTTAATTTTTTGTGAATTTTTTCCTCCCCCATAGGAAACAATGGAGCCCAACTTTTGACAGCTCCATTGTTTCCTATGGGGGAGAAAAAAATTCACAATAAATTAACGAAGACTCAGAAACTGTTTTAAATGCTTGGATTCGTTAGAGCACCTTGCAAAACCTGTGCAACCTTAGTTTGGCTTCGTTCTGAGTCTTCGTTAATTTTTTGTTAATTTTTTTCTCCCCCATAGGAAAGCATGGAGCTGTCAAATTTTGACAGCTGTCAAAAGTTGGTGGGGGGGAAAAATCAGCAAAAATTAACAAAAAGTCAGATCAAAGCCAAATTAAGTTTGCACCCATTTTAGAAGGTGCACTAACGATTCCAAGGATTTAAAACAGTTTTTGAACCTTTTAAAGACACACTTAAATTTGCAAAAATGGACATCGCAAAACCATTGAAATGCATTGAATAGGCTTCAATGCATTCCAATGAAGGAAACACTGTATTGCTTAACGATGTTTCCTATGGGTTTTTTCGCTTAAGGACGGCAATCCGTGCCTATTGGAACGGATTAACCGGTTTTCAATGCATCTCTATGGGAAAACACGTTTCGCTTACCGATGTTTTCCCACAGCGATGTTTTTTTTGAACCAATTAACATCGTTAAGCGAGGCACCACTGTATACAAATTCCATAAATAAAATAATGAATATTTGAGCTCTGTGATTACACAGGGCAGGTGTCTTATGAAATAAATCCTTCAATCACTTCTATTAATTCCTGGAAACTCCCTCTATGATCTATTTACCAGGCCTGACTGCATTTACTCAAATATTATCCAATTACTATAAAATGCAAACATTTCCCAACCCACAAACTAGACTATTTAAAAGAGTGCTTACATGGCTTTGTTTTCCCACACACACACACTTTTTCACTCGGTGCTAAATATAGGATATTAATATTGCTCTAAGCCAGTCTTCCCTTAGTTGGCACCTTTCTGGGTGTGACAGACTACAACTTCTATTATACCTAGTTAGGTAAAGGTGAAGGGAGTAACAGCTGGATACATCTTGAAGGCACCAGCTGGGGAAAGGCTGTCTTAAGTAATCTTAAGACAGCATTTTGAAAAGAAACATTACTACTCCATAGAATTTCTCGAAACTAAAAAGCCCTATTCAGGTTCTGTATAATGAGTCTACCCATGAAATTAACACCTCAATAGCATTATGAAGGCCTATGTAGCTACTTCTATTACATAGGCTAATGTATTACAGGACTATAGCCTGTCATTTCTGGACAAAGTGCCTCAAGAGTATGGCAGGAGGAGTCATTTGAACAGCAGCTAAACATATCCCTGAACAGGGCACTGTGGAAGGTAAGTGGAAATGCAGCTCTACCTGATTAGTCACTAATTCCATTCACACCTTCTCACAAGTGATACTTTCCATAGCATACAACCAAGTTATAAAAAAGAAGCAAAAAGGTAAGAAGGAAACACTTCTTAAATCAGAGTTAATACAGATAATACAGATGGTTCTTCATTCTGTATCCTGAGAATTTTCTATTGCAAAGTTTTAAATACTGTTTTGTTACATGCAAAACCCAAATACATTCATTAACAAAAGCTCTAGAAAACAGGATCATTTCCTGCCTTTGCATAAGATGTTTAAAGCACAAATAGAAGAGATTTAAGATGAGTGAAATACATGACTAGTTTTCTTTCGGATTCCAACACATACAAAAAATTGATTTAGACTTTTTTCTCTCTGACAGGGATTCGTCATGCAGTCAAAAATAAATTAATATCCACTAGAAGCACCAATATCCAAATATGGAATTGCTTTGGTACAAAACAGCACTGTAACCATGTACTGTATATTCAAAAAGTACCTATACACATTTAATGAGGTTAGCTGCAGCATTTAGAGCAAAAACAGTGAAACCTGTAGTATTCTCTTCCTTATTATTCAAACACTCACGTTACCAAGAAGCAGAAAGCAGCTTCATTAAGCTTGGATTCTTTTTGTGCGTGGTTGTTTAACTGGCATATATTTCAAAAATTTGAATTGGGAATTGCATCCTCCGTCTGCACAGTAACTTGACAAACATTAGCGTGAACTACTAAGGCAGTGTGACAACCGCATGCTGAGAGCAAAGTCTCACTAATGTGTTTTGGCATGCAGGTTTGTAATCACACATTTACATATGCAATGACCTACATTTGCATGTCAGATCACACACTGTCTGGCTTTATTAAGACCGGGCACCTCCCTGTGTTTGGCGACCAGAGTGGCGAGAGAGGGCCAGAGGACGGCGTTTTCTTTGGCAGTTGAGGGATGAACTGCCACCAAGGATTAGACTGATATGGCCTGAGCATTAGACACTTCATTAGAGGTAATCTGTTTAACAGTGGGCAGTGTATGTAAACTTCACAGCCCATTTGCAGCACCTTCCCGCCCACCCCCACCCCCAATGGCCTTCCTTCAAAGGGCAGCCCATCTGACTGACAGCTTGTCTCATCTGCTCCCTTGTCCTGTCATACAATTTAGACGTGGAGACCTGACATGAGAAGCAACATAGCTGCACATCTCCCAACTATCGCCCAGGTCTCCCTTCCAGTCACAGTGTAATTTGGAAAAAGAATATACTTGTGCACTGGAGGAGGGGGCATCAACTAGGCAGAGAACATATTACATACATTTCAGTAATGCTCACTGGCACACACGGGTGGCTGATGCTTTTTAAGCCAGCAAGGATTTCTCCTGTTCCAAGAGATGTGTTTTTTATTTCATTCTAAATTGTAACCCAGATACAGAACTAGGTTTTCGGTGCCATGCCTTAATTCACTCCCGCATTCAGGATAAGTATAGTGTGGGCTTCTTCCAAACCAGAAGGCAGCTAAATGAACACTTTCCTTTTCCAGCATGAATTCCTCTACTACCTTTCCATCTCAGCTTAAATCAAGGCTTGGACTTATAAAAGATTCATCCAAGCCTGTATGGACATCTATATTAACAAACCTTTCAATCATGATCTGCAGCAGATCATCAAGCCTTGAAATAGTGCCCTTCCCCCATATTTTACTACTTGCAACACCTAAAGTGGGAAATGCACACATGTAAATCCAGTGACTTGTACAGTGGTCACAGACTACAGAGGGACAATTCACTAAACAACACATGTCCACTGTGTGTTTTGAAGCACATACCTCTCCAACACACTTTATTCATAAAGGCAACAAAAAACCAACTACTATGTAAAGCATGAATAGACTCAGGTTCCAAAGCAACTGCTGTGATGAAATCAATAAACATCTTTCAAGTCCCTACTTTAAAAAAGATGTTACACATCAGGCCAAATTTTAATTGTTTTTCCATAAAATCTTGGGCATGACGGTTACATGTTTTTTTGGAAATTACACAAGGATAACCTCTCCTTCCTTTTCTCTCTCAAAGACATGTTGTGATTTCCAAAATAGTCAGGACAACTTTGAAACAGTTCTTTCACCTATTTGCAACTGCATCATTTGAACAGACTTTTATCAGATGGAATAAAAGACATTCTTTCTTCCACCACCATATCACCCCCACCCACAAAACTGCAACATTCTCCTCACAAAACTACACAAAAATATACGTTCCAGGTATTTGAGTTATACTAAAATTAAAACTAATCATGTGCCATTATGTTGTTTCTCTGATGGAGGCCCTCACAGGGTTTTTGAGTTACCAACTCCTCAGAAATGGATTCTAAGTCCCTCCCCTGGTGATGCCCTGGGACAATGATGCTCACCCAAGGCTGCACAGGTACTAGGGCACCCAACCCCATCAGCCACACATACTACTGGTGATCTCTGTTGGAACAGAAGGTTCAGTAGGATGCATACTCCTGGCTTCCTACACCACAGTCAGGCACTCCAACCCACTAAGCTATACCAGCTCATTCTGAGCTATACTAGCACAATCATAACCCCCAAAAAATCATTTTGCATATAAATCTTCATTCCTCCCCATCATCGGATTATGATGCTTCACTTCCATATACTTCAGATCCCAACCTACTTCCATCTCTATATTAGACAAGACATATGCGCCTTTATAACTTTGTGGGAGCTCCAACATATGGCTGACACAAGTTCAATCAGGAATCAGCAAGAAAGAACAGGTTTCAAGAATTATCAAATGTAACTTTCTGCTTTGTAGCAAGAGTCACTAGGACCAAGTAATCCCTGACAAATGTTTAATCAGCATCTTTCTCAAAACCTCATGCACCTGGTTTCCTGAGTCTCTGGTTGGATCGTTTCCTAGAACTTTGCTTTGGCTTCTGATCCTCATTCTGGACTCCACTCATTGAACCTTTCTGTTCTATTTGTACCTCCGCCTGCCACAACCTTGTCTTTGGGATCTTTCTTAAGAGTTTGACAACTGCTTGAAAAAAAAAACTTGTAATTTATGTTATTAAGACAAAGCTACTATTGGGGTCATTAGCATTCATCTGTATGCACTGTCCTTCCCCCCCCCACACCCTGGGAAAACTCCCACTCACCCCCAATTACCTTTATCTTGCAATGGTGAACATAGTAGCTTTTTTCTTACAGGAGAATTGTCTACAATAAAACCCTTCAACACAACCAATGTCCTGGAACAGAGACTATTTAAATATTTAGTGTGAATATGCTAGTAAGTCTTAAATCTAACAAGTAAAAGAAAACTGAAATAAATAAAATCTGTATCACCATTTTGCAACTGCAATATGTAGCATGAATGAGAAACAAAAACATGCTGGAGAACAAGTTCCTTAGCATGAATGTTATTGCACATTACATACATGCAGACCTTAATAACACATAATACATTATCATACCTGTGGCTGAAACTGAGGAACAGGAGGACCTGGCATGCCTTGAGACTGTTCATCCATTTTTCAAATCACAGCACTTTTGATAACCTGTAGAACAATGGATAGGACAACTTTATTACTGTCAAAGACCAGCAAGATACAACATAATAAGCCATATACTTATATGTCTATGTTCTTCTTTGTATTATTTATATACATTATCACTGGTGATTTACAGGCTGGTGTAAAAGACAGAAAAGTGTTTGCCCTTACGAGTTTACAATCTCAATTCTAACTTAAGAAGAGACCACACAGAAAAGAGAAAACAAGAGAAAAATACGTGCAAAACTAGTTATATTTACTTTCTTTACCATGGGCTGGGTGAGGATTAAGAGGCCTGGCTATGCTGCCCTCATGCATTCAGTGTCAATTATATGTCATGAAAACAGTGATGAACATTCTAAGACAAGTTCACATAAGAAACTCATCAATCAATGGAAGAAACACTGAAGAATCATTTGTCATCTGATCAATATTTTTAAGCCTCTTGAGATCCAGAGTCTACCTCTGAGTCAGACATAGTTCTTATCTTTGTATTATTTATTTATTTGGCATCTTTCTCCCAATGAAGGGATACAACTAAAATAATACAGTATAATATACAATTTTAAAAAAATAAGACAACAGTAAGCAATTAAACATTGAGCAGTATAAAAAAATTGCTGTATGAAAACACTTAAAATGGTACAAGCTTATGATCAATGGAAATATATATACAGTAAGTACGCACAATCTGACAATAACTCTTACTTATTCAAATCAATTAAGAACTTTCCTTATAAAGGAGAGGTTTGCCTACTGGCAAAAGTACAAGAGGAAAACAGTCAATCAGGACTCCTGGATTGTATATTCTACAATATGGGAGAAGACACCGAAAAGACCCTCTCTTACATCCTCATCAAATGAAACTATCAGGGTAGTAGGACCAAGAGAAGAGCTTCTCCTAAAAATCCTAAAAACTGGGGAAACTCAAATTTATTATACATTCATATGGTATTAACAACAGCTTAACAAAATTACCATCTGTTTCCATGTATAAGATGCTGCTTTTTCCTAAAATAGTTACAGTAAAAATTGAGGGAAGTAAGCTGAACTTATGGCACACATGCCACAGCCGGCACGCGAGCCATACCGATCCTACTGCTCATGCCAGCCTGGTGCAGGGCATGGAACAGCTCGCTGCCAGGGCTCAGCTTGAGCTCACGCTGCCGCCTTGTCCCCCGCCCAAAGGGAGTCTGTGGGTGGCACTGGAAACGGTGATCAGGTGGTGACAGGAGGAGGAGTCAAAGGCGGAGCTGCGCCCAGCCGCCCCAGCGCAAAATTGCTGCTGCCCACTGACAGTGACTCCGGTGCCGCAGGAGACGAGCAAGCGAGCAGATTGGGGCACAGTGAAGCAAGAGTGGGCAAAGGCCCTGCCTATATTTGGGGAGGAGGGGATAAGGTGTCCCCTGGCCACCCTCTGGAGGACATGACGGCCTGGAGGTTGCCTGCTGATTTGGGCACTTGGGCTCAAAAAGGTCAAAATTTGGTGGGGGTCTTATACATGGGGTGTTTTATAAAGACAAATACATGTATAACTACAACTAATTTTTTTACTACAACCCCCAGAATCTTTCAGCCACTTATGTGACCCAGCAATGGATCTGAGCCACAAGTCAAAAGACTGGTGCAACAGACACAATACCACACAGAAAGAAATTTCTAATCATATTTCATTTATTTCAAATACTAGAATTTTCAGTGCAGACAGTTTGCATTTTCAGGGATGGGTGATGGAGTTGGAAAACACAAGCACAGTGTGAATCAGCCTGCAATTTGACATAGTTCAGTGGTTTAGGCCACTGGCTGAGAAACCAAACATTGGGAGTTCAGTTTCCACCGTGCTTCCTTGTCAAGGGCTGGACTTGATGATCCACAGGATCCCGTCCAGCTCTGCAGTTCTAAGGTTATTATTCATATTACAAAATATTTGCATAGTGCTATTTGGGGAAAAAATTGACCAAACTCCAGGAGGTAGTGTAAGACAGGAGCGTGTGGCGTGCTCTGGTCCATGGGGTCACGAAGAGTCAGACATAACGACTAAACAACAACAACAATTTGAAAAAAATTAAACACCAGCTGACAAGAGTGTTGCTATCAGTTTAAAACATCAATTTCTCCCACATAGAAAGTAGCCTTTATGGATAATGACTTAGATTGTTTTGTATCCCAGCCCCAGTAAAGGTTGTTTGATGTAGCACTGAAGCTGCCAGCTGTTACAGCAGCTCCACTGGCTCCAATCTGTTTCCAGATACAATTCAAAGTGCTTGTTTTAACCTATAAAGCTGTCTCAAAGACCGCATCTCCATTTATGAGCCTTCCTGGGTGATAAGACCATTACAGGAGGCCTTTCTCTTAGTCCCACCATTTGTACTGGTACATTTGATAGGAACATGGAGAAGGTCTTCTCTATCACTGTTCCAAGACTCTAGAACTCCCTCCCATAGGAGGTCAGGCTGGCCCCAACTTTGCTTTCCTTCCACATGTAGTTACATACTTTTCTCTTTAAGCAGACTGTCTAAGAGGGTTTTTTTAACAAAATGTTTTATATTTTTACATCTGTTTTAATAAGGCTTTTATCTAACATTTTAATGTTTATTTCTTCAATATTTGAATAACTTACCATTTTCAGCTTTCAAATATTGTCTTTTTTAATGATGTATTTTATTTATTTATTTATTTATTTATTTATTCTACTTATATCCCACCTATCTGGTCTTGCGACCACTCTAGGCGGCTTACAGAAACATAAAACAGCAAATAAATATAAACAAAAAGAAATTATTACATCCAATGACCAGTTCTCCAAGATGGCAAAGAGAAAATAAAAAATAAACAAAAGAGAAAAGAGAAAAGAATCAGATAATAACTGGAGGGAAGGCCTGCCTGCATTGGGTCCAATGTAAGCTGCATTGGGTCCTTTTTAAAGAAAAAGGCAGGAAAACAATATTTTTTTAAAAAATAAATTAAATAGAAAGGGAAATAAAATTTTCACTATTTCCCTTTTATAATGCACACCCTTTCCATAGGGTCTCCAAACTCTAAGGAAAAGATGTTTAGCTAGCACAGAGAGATGCAGGGGAAACAACTAGGCAAAACACACATACCTATCCTAACTACCACTAGCAGGAGCATCCCATTAATGCAGGGGTCCCCAACCCCCAGTCCACAACCCGGTGCCGGTCCATGGGCTGCGCAGGACTGGGCCGCAGAGACAGATCTCCGCCCCGCTGCAAAGTGGGTGTGGCATGCTTGCACACATGCGTGGGTGAACAGGCATGTTCACAGATGGGTGTGGCACATTTGCAGGTGGGTAAATCTGGTGCGTGAGCGTGTCCCACCCATCCACCATTTGCACTCTGCTCACCTGCGAGCATACCACACCCACCTGTGCATGCGTACAAGCATGCCACACCCACCTGTGAACACGGGGCGCCCCCACCCTCCAATGCACAAACCCCACCACCACCAGTGCGTGTTTCTGAAAAGTTTGGGGACCACTGCATCAATGCATTTCATCTCATGGAAACTCCAAATCCAGGCCAGTGACACTATAACCTTTTCCATCAAGAATAATCATTCTAAGGTAAAGGAACTGGCTGCAGAGGAAATGAAGACATACATTACTGCCACATAATTTGAATAAGAATCCAATCCTATTCACATGCACTTGGGAGTCCATTTACTATAAAGTTGCAAATCTCTACCAGACATGTTTATTCCTTGTTACTTGGGCACAAAATGCTCACAAAACATGGTTTAGTACTGCCTAATCATTTGCAGACTTACACAGATGGAAATCTTACTGGGTTCAATAGTGGTTACATCCATAATGGTGTAAACAGTATCACACCCTACAAAATATAGTATTTTTTATAAAATGTTGAGCGGCCCTCATTTTAAATGACTGTCCTTATCAATTTATTACCTGTTTCTTATAAAACCATAAAATCCTTTTAAAAAAGCATTTTAGTCAAATGCATACTTCCTAGAATCAAACAAAATTTAGGATCCATGTTAACTGCTTTAAAAAAAAACACCCTAATACATTCAGTTTGCTTTCACGTTCTCCAAGCGTTGGTGCTTCAGTTCATGTAGGCTGAAGACAGAATCAAATGCAAAAGCATCCGGATCAATATTCTTAAGAAGTCAGTTGCAAAGAACAAAAAATGTTTTCTACATATCAGTATTACAACCAAGCCAGAAATGCAAATATATTTAACCTAGAAACACTTAAGGAGCCTACTCAGCTGGGAAATATCATCAAAAAGAAAGCACTTCTAACAGACTGGCTGGGGGGGGGGATTAAATCTCTTCCTAATCTGAAGTTTTGGCAGTGGTATTAATTATCCTCAAGTATCAGTTTCATATTTTTTCTCTTTTTGAGAATTTTTAAACTGCTGAAATCATTCAGAAATAATGGCAACATTAGTCTTTTCACCTTATAACTCTTAAACCAGAAACAAACATTTTTTAAAGAGCAATTCTTACTGGTCTTTGCACTTTGCTTTAATAGTGGTAATAAAACTGCTCCATAGTAGGTACTATTTCCTTTCTACTTCGCATCACTGCACAACTGTCATGGGGGCTAGCAATCGTTTGTTAATATGACTAACACACATTTTAAAACAACACTTCATGCAGAAGCTGAATTTAACATCTGTGTAGCTCAACTATTTCATCTATTCTTTCTGCCCAGTTTAACTCACATACTGTAATGATTTTTTAATTCAGTTAACAAAACTGTTGCTTACTCTTTTTTTGGTTCCTTCTTTTAAAAAACACATGTTTACACTAGTGGCTTTTTTAAAAAATCCACTAAAGTTCCCCAGAAATGTACAATACATCCTTCAATAAAACTTCTTTCAAGAGATTAAACATTTTAAAAGGAGAACATGTCATCCTGCTCCCCTGTAATCTGCAGAGCTTGCAAAAGTTATATTTTTAGACTACAACCCTTACAATCCACAGGCCAGCAAACATGTGCAAAGTAACTTTTGTACCCCAGAGGTGTTTTGAAACACATGATCACTCTGTCAATCACTAAGGGCACCACTAAGGCCCCACAAACCTGGCTAAACTGCAATAAAGTAAGGAAACTTCAGAATGGATGTGAGGAAAAAAAAACAGAGCAATTGCACACTTGTGCCATAAAGAAGCAGGAATTTGCTTCTGCATTTGCTTTGAATACCAGAGCTAATAGAAGTGACAGAACGTTTTCAGATGTGCTTGCTAAATAATGTCTATATCAGAAGTGCTTAGATCTGAATTTCCAGGTGTTGTTGTGCTATAACTCTTGGCATTCCTCATTATCTATCCTGAGCAAGGTTGGTGGGAGTTCAAAACCATCTGAATGGACACACCTTCCCCACATCTATTCTAAACAGAGAGTGGATCATTAGGCCTGGCATGCAACAGTTCTAGGCTTAGAATACTTAAAATTTACTTTGAAAATATCTGTGACTTATAGTTTAAAACACCCCCAGAAATTACTCTTAATCAAAATTCAGCCTATTTACATCCTCTGATGAATTTACAAATATGAGTGTTTTGACCATGGCTGTCCTTGTATTCATGAATTCCTAGCTGGCAGGGGCACTGACAAGTCAGCAGGACACCTGAAAACTTATTTTAAAAGGGAAAGGGAAATGAAACCGAAACATAAGAACTGTTTCCTCTCTCTCTCTCTCTCTCTCTCTGGTTATTTCGGATACGCGCTGAGGTCAGTGTTGGCAAACCCTTCCTTACGGTCCCAACACCGTTTTCCCACAGAAACGCTCCCAAACCCAAAGACTCAAGTGTCGGGGCAAGCAAGGTTTTTCGAGGGAAAAAGTACACCTCCGCCTGGGCAAGCCTACGAGAGCAGGGCGCCAAGGCTCGTGTCATCATCCTGCAGAGGGCTTTGAAGCTCAAGGCTGCCTGACAAGAAAGAGGAGGCTGTCAATAAGATACAGGGCCGTAT